ACCTGGTCAGCTGTATCAGTGTCAGTTGTCTCTCGGGACATGAAGTCGATGAAGGCCTGGAAGGTCACCACCCCGCTGTTGTTGGGGTCCACGATGCCCATGATGCGTACAAACTCAGCGTCACCCTGGGACAGGAGTGTGGGGTTAGAAGTTGAGTTCAGAAACAGGGTTTATCTGTTGTACTGACCCCTTGATCTCAGGGATGCCTCGTACATTTAAGAACTGTTGCTGCATTAGTTTAATTTAATGTTGCTGCATTAGATGCATGTTCAGGCACAGGTCTCAGCTGATTAGTCAAACAGTATTCTTACTAGCACAACTGCTCATAATCACAGGGCGGGGAAAGCAGTCAAGAGACTCCAAGTGCGTGTCAGGTTAACCCGTTTTGGGTTTTACCCGATGCAAATGGCCTCTGTCTTTCTGTTTAGAAGACGACAAGAAAAGCCACTTGGATTTCACAGCAAGCTCAGCGAGGAAGGCAGGCATACCAGGCTGTATCCCGTGGAAATTAGGAGCGCGCGGAAATCATCTGAATCCATCATTCCTGTGCGCTTCTGTCCCAAAGAGAGAGGAGCAGCAGAGGACGACGAGGGGGCAGGAAGAGAGACTCCGGAAGGAGGGAGATGTCGAAGAATTGCAGGAGGAAAAGCAGAGAGGAGGAGGGCAGGGAGGCAGGAGGAGAGAGCAGTGAGGATGAAGAGAGAGGAGGAGAGAGGGGGCAGCAGGAAGGGAAGAGCAGCAGGTGGGTCACAACACAGGACAAAAAAAGAACAAGAAAAGCAGAGAGAAGTTAAAAGACGTAAAAAAAAATGCAGCAGAGCTCAGGGGCAGCAGGGCCAGACCGAGGCAGCGCAGCAGAAGACAGGGAAGGGTATCCAGAGCCAGAACCCAGAGCAGGAGGGGGAGGCAGAGAGCGAGAGAGAGTCGGTGTGCCGTTTGTCACTGTACATGCCTTGGAGCTCCAGCCCCTGAGAGAACAAAAACACGCAGGGCCGAACTACGGTCTATGAGGTGTTTGTGCCTGCTCCGTTGTGTGCCTGGTGTATTCGCTATTTTGCCACGGGCACCTGGCAAAAGTACCCCCCAACTTCTCTCTCACTCCCATGCCCTCCCTCAGCAGCTCCGCTGCACCCTGTTGTACCTGTTTGTTGTTCTCCACGTCGTATCCCAGGCTGATGAGACAGGCCTTGAACTCCTCCGCCATCAACGCGCCACTGTGATCCTTGGGGGCAGGGAAGGCAGGCCAATCGCAGGGTGGGTGGAGGGTGGAGGGTGGAGGCGTGGGCGGATGGTCAGGTGATGAGCCCGATGAGAGGGGAGGGGTGACATGCGGACATGAGGGTGAGACACAAAACATGTCAGCTGTT